TAGCGATGAGGTCTCACCAAGTTGCCCAGTCTGGTTTTGAACCTCTGAGCTCAGGCAGTTCTCTCACCTCGGCCTCCCAAAGTGCTGGGATTACAGAATTATAGCCACCACACCTGACCCCCAAATATTTTTGGAGACTTTTTAAAATTTTGTGTAAAAACGAGGTCTCACTATGTTGCTCTGGCTGTTTTCAAACTCCTGGGCTTAAATGATCCTCCCACCTTGGCCTCCTAAAGTGCTAGGATTACAGGCGTGAGCCACTGCCCCTTGCTGGCTCTCATATGTTTATATGCTCTCTCTCTCTTTTCCTTCACTGTGAGCCTTCACTGCCTGTAGTTCTTGCCTTCTGAATCAATTCCTACTGCTGGAGAACGAGCTGCCACTCTCAACAGCTGAATGTGTTGCCAGCTAAGCAAGGGAGCGCAAGGCTGCAGGGCACAGCCCCTCTGGGCTCAAGACATCCCTCCAGTATTTCAGTGTCCACTCTAGGATTCTGGGATCGGGGACTGCCAGCAGTGAGGATGTCAAGGAATAGTTTGGTCTTTGGTTTTGGAGGGCGGCCGGTGAGTGAGGCTGCTGCTGTGAGTTGTTGGTGGTCCCTTAGGAAGGACTTCAGTGGGTTCTAGTGGTTAGTTATTTACAGTTTGGGGTGACGACCAAGGTCAGCCCCTCTTTTTCAATCTTGAACTTGGAGAAATAGAATCTTTTAGTGACTTCTAGCAGGCCCTGCCAGAAATCATAGACACATGCTGTGGTTCCAAATTTTTTCCAATTCTTCTGAGGGGTGGGGTGCCACTGTTCAGCATCCTGTGTCTCAAGAGGTGAGGGTATCAGGTGCTCTGAAAGAGGGTACCCTAATGTGTACCTCACCCACTCCCATCTAGAGAGCTACTCATATTGACAAATCTCTTTATAACATCAAACCACTTTTATTTGTTTATTTATTTTTTGAGTTGGAATCTCACTCTGTCACCCAGACTGGAGTACAGTGGCAGCTCCCGGCCACAGCAGCCTCGACCTGCTGGGCTCCGGTGATCCTCCCGCCTCAGCCTTCCAGTAGCTGGAACTACAGGCGCGCACTACCATGCCAAGCTAATTTTTTGATTTACTGTAGAGATGAGGTCTCGTCAAGTTGGCCAGGCGAGTCTCGAACCCGCGGGCTCAGGCAATCCAATGACCTCATCCTCTCAAAGCACAGAATTACAGGCTGAGCCACCAAGCCCGGCACAAACCACTTTTTAAAAATTCTATTTTTTAGCCGAGCTCGGTGGCTGAGCCTGTAATCCCGCACCTTTGGGAGGCTGAGGTGAGTGGATTGCCTGAGCCCGCAGGTTCAAGACCCGCCTGTGCAGCAAGACCTCATCTCTACAATAAATCAAAAAATCATCTGGGCATGGTAGCGCATGCCTGTAATTCTGGCTGCTTGGAAGGCTGAGACAGAAGGATCGCCGGAGCCCAGCAGGTCAAGGCTGTGGTGACCGGGAGCGGCCACTGCACTCCAGTCTGGGCGACAGAGTGAGACTCCAACTCAAAAAAAAAAATTCTATTTTTTTCACTAGATTTTTGGGTACCTTGTGACATGACTTTAGATCTCACGATTTTTTAATTAAAGTGGATTTGTAGTGACTTTAAGTAAAATTATATGTTTAAAAACTGATTATTGAGCTGGATGTAGTGGTGTATGCCAGTAATCTCAGCTCCTCAGGAGGTTGAGGTGAAGGGATCTCTTGAGCCCAGGAGTTTTGTTTTCTTTTTTTTTTTTTGAGTTGGATTCTCACTCTTCATCCCAGACTGTAGTGCCTTGGCACGCTCCCAGCCACCGCAGCCTCGACATGCTGGGCTCCGGTGATCCTTCTGCCTCAGCCTTCCAAGTAGCCAGAACTACAGGCATGCTACCATACCCGGCTAATTTTTTTGATTTATTGTAGAGACAAGGTCTCACAAAGGTGCCCGGTTGGGTCTCAAACCCTCAGGCTCAGGTAATCCATTCACCTTGGTCTCCCAAAGTACTGGGATTACAGGCTGAATCGCCGAGCCCAGGAGTCTTAACCAGTCTGGGCAGCATAACAAGACCCCGTCTCTGAGAAATAAACTAAATATAACTCTATTCACAATAGCAAAAACATAGAACCAACCATGCTACTCGTCGAAGCTGGACTGGGTAAAAAAATGTGGTACATATACACAAAAGAATATTATATAGCCATAAAGAAGTACACACATATGGACTTCACAGCAACTTGGATGGATTTAGAGTCAATCATACCCAGTGATCTATCACAGAAACAAAGAACAGAGTACCATATATTTTCACTCATATGCAGACCTTGAACAATTATTATAATACTATAAGGAAGCAATTGGCAGTACTGGGAAACTGTCAGGGGAGAGGAGTTGGGATTGGCAGTTGAGGGAAACTGCTAGGGGAGGGAGGGGCATACCTCCTCAGCAAGGGTGCCTGCATAATTGACATTTGTGTACCTAGCCCTGAATTGTACTTCACATCTTTATAATAATAAAAATTAAATAGGGCCCCACAGAATTGGGGTCGGAACCTGATTATTCTACTTAAGATTTATAAATCTCAAAACTCTAAAATAGAGAGTATAGCATCTAGTCAAATACTATTTGAAATACTATAGAGTTTGAAGGCTTTAATTCCAAATTCAAATAGTAAAAAATGTACTAAAGGATCAGATTCTTAAAGTCTCCTTTGTAAATGACACAGGCAGGGTTTAAGGGTAGCATTTCCACCTCATGAGATGCAACATCTGCTTATTTTTAAGTGTCCAAATCAGTGATTGTTATTTCTCAAGCGCCTGGGCAGAGGCTGCAGAACATCACGGTGGGCACATGGCATTGTGGGAAGGGTACAGGCATGGGATGCCTCAACCCTAGGGCTTCTGAGCCAGACAGATCTAGCGTTGAGTCTAGGGACTCCTCTTATCTAACCGTCCTTGGAAAGGTTGTTCCCTAATTTGTTCCTGAGCCTTGGTTTCCTCATTGACAAAATGACTTAACGGGCCATTATGAGCACTGCTGATTCCAGCACATCTGTGCTCAGGGGCTGGTTGCTTGCTCTGAGGCAGAGATTGGAAGGATCTAGTCATCTGTTACCTCTATGTACTTAGCAGATAAAATGGAGCATGTTAATCAGTTTAACACCTGGATTAGTTCATTACTGAAAAATGAAAGTTACCCTTGTATTATGAAAAAGGATCCAGAAAGTTAAGTTAGTGATTTTTACTTTCAAACTTTTTTTTTTGAGTTGGAGTCTCACTCTGTCACCCAGATTGGAGTGCAATGGCCGCTCTCGGCCACCGCAACCTCGACCTGCTAGGCTCTGGCGATCCTTCCGCCTCAGCCTTCCAAGTAGCTGGAACTACAGGCACGCGCTACCACACCCGGCTAATTTTTGATTTATTGTAGAGATGAGATCTCGCCAAGTTGCCCAGGTGGGTCTTGAACCCACAGGCTCAGGCAGTCTACTCACCTTGGCCTCCCAAAATGCTGGGATTACAGGCTGATCCACCGAGCCCAGTCTTAAAACTTTTTTGTCTTTGCCAGGTGTGGTAACTCATGTCTGTAATCCCAGCACTTAGGGAGGCGGAGGTGAGAAGATTGCTTGAGCCCAGGGATTCGAGACCAGCCTGAGCAACATGGTGAGACCGTCTGTCTACAGTAAATAAAAAAAATTAGCCAGGTGTGATGGTGTTCACCAGTGATTCCAGCTACTTGAAGGCCTGAGGTGGAAGGATCACCTGAGCCCAGCAGGTTGAGGCTGCGGTGGCGTGAGCATGCCACTGCACTCCAACCTAGGTGCAGTGCAGCTTCGACTTCTGAGCTCAGGAGATCCTCCCACCTCTGCCTCCTGATTAGCTGGGAGTAAAGGTGGGTGCCACCATACCTGGCTAATTTATTGATATTTTTGTAGAGACAAGGGCTTGCTATATATCCCACGTTGCTCTCAAACTCCTGGTCTCAAGCAACTCTCCTCACAGCTTGGCCTCCCAAAGTACTGGGATTACAAGCATGAGCCACCATGCCTAGCCTGATTTTTACTTTAAAATAATTTAAAGTTTAGTTATTTCTGACCCACTTATTGTAAATTGAATTATAGTTCAAACTGAAAACATACCAAAACATCATAAAGCATCTGGTTTTTTCTAGCTTTGCAAAATAAAAATATCAAAGGGGGAGGCTGAGGTGAGTCGATTGCCTGAGCCCACGGGTTCATGATCCGCCTGGGCAGCGAGACCTCATCTCTACAATGAATCAAAAAAATCAGCCAGGCGTGGTAGCGCATGCCTGTAATTCCAGCTACTGGA